AAACAAATAACAGAGAACCTTTTTTTTATTTACGGTATTTTCTTATTTTGATGTTTTGAGCTCTTTTGTGTTTAAAACAATATATACTAATTTTTAAAGTATCAAATTGAATTTTTGTTCGATAAAAATCTTTCAAATGTGACTGTAGCTTTTTTCCCCAAAACTTTATCTTCAAAATAAGGGTGCGTCTTATATTCCGAAAAATACGGTAATTGCAAACACAACGTACGACTCTTACCGAGTTATGTATCCAAACTTGTTATAACTATCGCCTTTAAAATGATTAACTTTTAACTCTCTTGTTATGAAAAACTGAACAACCATTAAATATTAACTCACAAAATAAATTTAATAATAACGCCTACATTAAACAGTCTTGTATATCCAACACTCTTAATCTATAAATTCACAAACCTCCTACCGAACCTCAAAATCTAAGCATAGTGGCACGTCTCTCGAACGCCTGTCAAGACGTGTTGTTTATGATTGACACCGCCATCCTTGGCGGAAATTGAGGTGTCATATCTTGTGGATTTCAAACTAAGCACGATCTACAATGGAGGAAATAGTTTTTCAAGGGCTACACAGAGCCTAATACATCGTTCTTATAAAGTTTAATTAATCCCCAATACGTTACAAATCAGTTTGTTTGAAGCAATACCACTTATGCGACATATTGGCTAAACAGCCAGGTCAGAGACCCTTAGGATTCAGGTATAACCGTTGTTAACTTTGAACTACTAGCCAAAGGAAAGGCAACTAATCAGTAGCTTTTGCTCGTAAAGGTTTACGTCACCTACACAAACTTGGTCAAATGTACGCAACTCTGTTCGTATTTCGTATATATTCATTTAATTTCATTAAAATGTTGAGCTCCGGAAATATGTAAATGGCATCGCCACTCCCCCTTTTTTTGGCTTCTGACCATGCACGTGTCTGTTATTTCATTTTCTAGATACGAAAACCACGAAATGTCTTAGAATAACTCATACAAAATAAGAAAAAGTTGTTTTTTACAGCAGGAATAAAATATATCAATGTAATCATTATGCGCTTCTATAGCGTATAAAACGTTTGTGTCAGTTTCTTAACAGTAGCATTGGTATTACTAACTGTTTCTTCGTAGCTTCTGCTAGTGTTTTAACAGTAGCATCGGTATTACTACGTGTGTTCCTACGTAGTTTGTTCCAGTTTCTTGACAGTAGCATTAGCGTGTTCCTATTTAGTTTGTGCCAATTTCTTAATACCGTAATTTTCCAATTATAAACCGCACCGCGTATAATCTGCACCTTCTACAAGTCAACATTACAAAAAAAACAAAAAAAAAACGTGTATAAGCCGCACCCGATTATATACCGCACCTGTAGTACAGCTGTTATCGAGTTACTAGTACGCTTACATGAAAACATTTCCCATATATATTATATTTGACTTGGTTTTTCATAGTAGTTATTCTTTCTAAGAAAAACATTATAAAATATAAAAGTCAAATAACAATTATTGTAACTTTCTTGTGTTATTTTCCTTGAGTGATAAAGGAAGACAACATAGAAGTGCATGATACCAATACAATGATACCAGAGAGCAGCTTCTCTCGAGGTGTGATGACTAAAGGAAGACAACATAGAAGTGCGTGATACCAATACAATGATACTAGAGAGCAGCTTCTCTCGAGGCATGATGACTAAATTAAGACAACATAGAAGTGCATGATACCAATACAATGATACCAGAGAGCATCTTCTCTCGAGGCTTGATGACTAAATGAAGACAACATAGAAGTGCATGATACCAATACAATGATACCAGAGAGCAGCTTCTCTCGAGGCATGATGACTAAATGAAGACAACATAGAAGTGCATGATACCAATACAATGATACCAGAGGCATGGTGACTAAAGGAAGACTACATAGAAGTGCATGATACCAATACAATGATACCAGAGAGCAGCTTCTCTCGAGGCATGGTGACTAAAGGAAGACAACATAGAAGTGCGTGATACCAATACAATGATACCAGAGAGCAGCTTCTATCGAGGTATGGTGACTAAAGGAAGACAACATAGAAGTGCGTGATACCAATACAATGATACCAGAGAGCAGCTTCTATCGAGGTATGGTGACTAAAG